GAAATGCTACAAGACTAGCATGATACTGTGCCTTTCAATGTGTCAGAAAATCACATAAGCCTTATGCACACACTTTACAAAATTTGCATTGTATACCTTTGATTGAGCAATTTGTTCGATTAGCTCAAAGCACGCATTTCCAATCTGCAAAAGAAACAAAAAGTTCAACATAGCAGTCTCAACTAAATACATACTTAGCACTCAAATAAATTGGCTACATCTACTTTCAACTCACTGTTGCGTCCATTTCATTGTTCAAACCAAGGCTCCAAAAGTCAGCACGTGTCAGGACACTCTTTCTTGTTTTCACAATCAACTCTGTCGCTGGCTTCTCAATGTCCAACAAGTAGTTGAGCTGATGTGAACAATAAACAAAACATTTTTATTTGCCTTGAAGTACAGCATTGGTGTTAAAACTTATTTTCGAAGTTGTGCTACGTACCAGCTTCTCCTGGGTGGGATGACTTTGATCACTTGTCCATGATGCTCTGTATGGTCCAACGTTCTCACATCTTGTGATGGATTCACAATGTTTTCCACATTGGTCATTGTCTATCAAGAAGTTAAAAAAAAGTTAAAGTGAATAAAAACAAATCAATAAAATTGATATGAGATCATATTACCCACCTTTCTTTGTGTTGGTATAAAGCCCGTGTTGCGAAGGAGTTTCAACCAGTATAGATTGTTTGGCCTTTTCAGATACTGCGGTTCCTGATGCTTTTAGAAAATAATTTATATTTATTTAACACAAATACTATTTGTCACGTTACAACCATAAAACAAATGGTTATATTACATAAACATCTAGTACAATTAATTTATACAGCCACTTAATTATTTGTCCACTGTGAAGAATGAAAACGTATAATAAACGTATAATTCAGTGTTACATGTTTAACATTATATTCAATTACATATATTGTGACACAATAAACTGCCTTGTAAAATTTAAACATACATATTTATCACATTTTTCATTTTAACTTGATACCGTAACACGATAAATTTATAAAAATTATACTCATATAAATATAATATTTCCAATAATAATAATAATAATTGGCCGAATCCATTCTCAACAAAGGACATTCAGCGGTGTACTGGGCCGGTCAAAAATTTAACAGGGACAGAACGATCATATCGATTGATAAGAGCCCTATAGCCAACATTATTTAAAACCAGGAACCACACCTAGTGTTAAACTTTTTATGAAAATATAGCACAATTAGAAAGGTAGGTAACGTAGTATATATACAAGAAGAAGTGTAATGTTATAACGTTACCTTTAAAACGCAAGTAGCTAACGGAAGCTAACGCTAGCCATTTAACATTAACGTAACTTTAAAATTCTAAACAATTTAATAGCCAAAGCACACATTCGTTATTTATATTAACAGATGAATGTTTTTGTGACCCCTGCATTCACCGTTTCTTCAATGTTGGGACCACAATAACCAGTCGCATACCGTTTTCTGTCGTTGTCTTGTGTCTTCGCTGAGTAAGCAGGCAATGGCACGTAAATAAAAAACGCAGAACAGGAAGTGGAAGCAACCCAGGAGAAAGCTGGAAGGCTGCAAACGGACGCGACTGAGAACGAAGGCGGAAGCGACTGAGACGTGAGGTCTGCAGCCAGACCCCTCTCGAACTTCCGGGAGACTTGTGATGTCTGATTTATGGTTGAAATACGTTTGCGGGCATTACAGATATGTGGTCAGGGATAAAGAACAGGCTTCAAGCAGAAGGATGATCAGACAGGTGGAAGTCTGGACAGAGCCCATGAACTGAAACATTCTTTAACAGATTCGGGTCAGGAAGAAGTCCAGCATCCTTTTCTCCTGCCCACAGTCATATGGACACCCCGCCCTCATTTGACCTAAGGCGGATTAGGTGGAAACGTCAGAAAGTTCA